CCAACTCCCCTCACTTAGTTGGCGCATCTTTCTGGTGTGTGTTCTTCACTGGCTTTTGGAGTTTCCCACTGGGATTAAGTTCCAGGTGTCCACAGTGATACCTAGCTTGATAATACACCCTTAATTGACTCACTTCCTCTACCGACTACTGGTGTTTGCTTCATCTCTTAAATAAACTACCTGCCCTTGAATCCTTGTCTCAGGTTGTGCTTCTGGAGGGGCCCACATGAAGCCAGTAGGGACGCATGTACACTGTACTATATGCACCAGGAGTCTCAGGTATGAGGTATGAGCTGGCTGGAAGTGAGAAGCACACTGTTGTCATGGATCTCATTGGCTCTGTCTGTCAGTCTAATATGTCTCGTCTTGCTTCCAGAAACCAGGGTCTTGATAAACTGAGCAAAGCCTACATCATACACTCACTGCCACTTGCAGATGGTCTAGCAAGAAAAATATTGTCTTAGTTTCTAAAAGAAACAAATCCCATCTCTACTTTCCCCTGTCAGCTTTGCTCCATGTGAAGCTTCATGCTGTTGATATTTCTCCTGGGTGAGTGGCCTGCAAAGGTTCCCAGCTTTAATTATTACCCCAAAGCAGGAATTGTGGCATAAATCTCCATGTGTGGAATACATATCACAGCTTGAGTTAAATGGACCCCAAACATATGGCATTGATTTTTGCATTTTCTAACACATGGGCAGTTTCTCATTTTAAATCAACTGAAAATGAGAAGATTATAGGCAAATCTTCTTGAAGGATTAACTATCGGGAAATATATTTGGTTTGCATAAATATTTGGGGTGGGATGGATGATGAGGTCAGACACTTTCCAAAGACACATTTCATATTGTAGAACGTGGGAGCTTTAATGAGGCGAGGTGGATAGCTCTGGAATCCCCTGCTTGTCTGGACTGCATGGGATTCAGACACTCTCTCCTAACTCGGATTGCAGCAAAGCGCAAGCAGAGCCATGGTGTTTGGGCTTGATGAATAGGGGTTGTACAGCGGATGCCTTTTTCATGTGAATTTTACTGACAGGGACCAATCATTCCTGGAGACAACCTCTCTTTTTGTGCCCTGATGTTGCCATCAGTCTAGGTGTGTTATCACCTATGTATGAGCCTATATCACTTGATCAGGGACTATTAGATAAAGTCATTGCTAATACTCAAGAATAGGAAGAAGGGCTATATGCTCTATTGATCAGATTCCATGCTGGATTTGAGTGATGGTCCCATTCTGCGTTTCAAGAGTTAAAGATGATGCAAAACCAAGTATCAGAATTATACTTTCCCTGGGCGAGAGCAAGTCTACTCATCTCTCAGAGGGCTGCACCAGAAAGGCAGCGATGTGTCTGTAAGACACCAGTTCTCTGCAGGTAACAATCAATAGGGAAAGGAGAAAAGCAGCTCGTTAGGCATTTCTCCCCTGAGCAACTCACTCAGCCTTGTCAGGCCTCCAAAGCCACAAGCAGCTGTGTTGTCCTTACTATTAAAATAAGCCCACCAGAGCACCAGGGTGCTGCCCTCTCGGCTTTCCCCAGGCAACAACCTTCCTGGGCCCACAGCTGGCCTCTAGTAGACCCTGAAGACCATGGTAGGGTCAGCAGCTCTGCATGCTCAGGGTATTTCCAGGCTTGCTCTGCCTGCTTCTCCTTGTCTCTCCCCACCCCACCCCCCAAGGTATTAATGTGCACAGAGTGAAGGGTCTAGAGAGGAATTTATTCATACCCCTGTCACTGTGTTAGTCCATTTTTGTGTTGCTGTAACAGAATACCTGAAATCGGGTAATTTACAAAGAAAAAAGGTTTATTTGGCTCATGATTCTGGGACAACTGCATCTGGCGTGGGCCTCAGGCTGCTTCTACTCATGGTGGAAAATGGCAGGCAGCTGGCAGGTATAAGCAGATCACAGGTTGAAGGGCTCTATGCTCTACTGATCAGATTCCATGCTGGATTCTATTCCATGGTGGGGAGAGGAAGCAAGAAAGAGAGAGGAGAGGCCAGGGTCTTTTAAACAACCAGCTCTCGCAGGAACTAATAATGGTGGAAAATGGCAGGCAGCTGGCAGGTATAAGCAGATCACAGGTTGAAGGGCTCTATGCACTACTGATCAGATTCCATGCTGGATTCTATTCCGTGGTGGGGAGAGGAAGCAAGAAAGAGAGAGGAGAGGCCAGGGTCTTTTAAACAACCAGCTCTCGCAGGAACTAATTGAGCGAGAACCCCCACCCCTCAAGGACAGCATTAATCCATTCATGAGGGATCCACCCCCATGACTCAAACAGCTCCCAACACTGCCATACTGGGGATCAGATTTCCACATGAGTTTTGGAGGGACAATGCATTCAAACTCTTTCAGTTACCTATGATAACTCTGCTCAGACAGAGGTGACCAGTCTGGAGTCTGGGACGGGGTGGGTTGCCAGCTATAGAACCCAGGCTGCTGAGCTTACCCACACTTCTGGTGGAGCAGGGATCTCCAGCCCCCAAGAAGGTTCCCCAGGCTTCATGCAGACATGCAAACAGTGAGCCCACTCAGGCCCATGTCTGCATCTGTTAGGGGTTCTTTCCTCTTTCCACCTCCCCTGCCCCAGGCTGCACTGGTCACTGGTCATCCTCTCAGGACTGTGCTGTACATTCACAGAGAATTGAAGTTCCCTATGCAGAAACGTTGAGGACAGGGCACTCAGCCTGTCCTCATTTTACCTCTCCAAATCCTCTTTCCTCCCTCCAGGTGGTTGTGGCCATAAGAGCATGATTCTACAATCAAATAGCCTCTCATGCCAAGATGGGAGTGGGAAGGGAAAGGAATGGAATAAGAAGAGGTCCCCTGGGCTGGAAACCTGTGGATTTTTCTAAGTGACAAAGGGCAAAGGTAGCTTTCTGAAACCAGGAAAGAGACAGCTATCTTCTCAGTCAAAACTTCACCTACTAATGCCAACTTTGGGAGAAGCAGCAACGTCAGGAGGGAAGGGTCTATGGGGTTTTGAAGCCAGACAGCTCTGATGTCTGGCTCTAGTACTTTCCAGCCGTGTCTGGAAAGTGTTCCAGCCTTGGTTTCCTTCTTCATCTGTAGAGTGGACTTTATATTTTTGATCGTCTCACAGAGTTCATGTGAAAATTAAAGAAGCCCGAACAGGCAAAGTGATATAGGGAGAGATGAGTGCAGGACAGCTGTCACGATGAAGCACACGATGTGTAGGAAGCCGAAGTTCATGGTAGAGATGCCGCCGAACGGCGGAAGAGGGCCTGCTTCTTCGGGGTCTGTTTTCGTCTTCCCCATCCTCCTTAACTCCCAGGGCTGCTCCTGTCCCCAGCACCGCCATAGAACCCAGGCTGCTGAGCTTACCCACACTTCTGGTGGAGCAGGGATCTCCAGCCCCCAAGAAGGTTCCCCAGGCTTCATGCAGACATGCAAACAGTGAGCCA